AAGGAAACACAGAAACCATGTGCCCCAATGCCAACCCCAGCAAGAATCATGGGGTCGATCACGAGGAACGAACGAGTGAGAAGAAAAGGAAACACGGAAACCATATGCCCCAATGTCATCGACAGCCGTTCCCACCACTTGCGACACGTGGCACGACGCGGCGGCTGTCATGCGCCGGCAAGCATGTGCCCCAATGCTAACCCCAACAGTTGTAGTCGACGGCTGACACGTGGGCAGGCAGAGCACCACTATACCTTGAAGGGTTGGAGCAGCTCTTCGATGAGGGCAAAGCGCACACGATGGCGGACACGTGCTGGCGCAGAATGCAAAGACGGGGTGTCGAAGCTCCGACAACTGGAGTACATGAGTGGTCGGAAGGACGGGAACGAGGCGACGACGAGAGGAAACCCAAACGCCCACGCTCGCAGACACGTGACGCGACAGGGGAGCAGCGAAGGCGATGGAGGACGTCGCGGACATGACGTCGCGCGTGAATGCGCTCGTCAGGCAGGAGATGGAAATGGGGTCCACCAGACCCGAGGCAGCTGTTCAACGACATCCAATGCCCGCCTCAAACTGTCGTCGGACCCCACGGAAAGACCCACCTGTGTGCCAATTGGCACCCACGTCAGGTGAGAAGACGAACGTTGGTCGTCCGATCTGCAAATCGGACGGCCAGACGGTGACTTCGCTATGTACACTGGCGCAGCCACCCCATCGGTCTCCGAAAAATATAACCGTCCTCGCGCGCTGCTCGAAACCACCCCTCCAGTTTGTTAAGCAACCGGGCCCAGCGAACCCGAGGAAACGAACCCCAGGGGCCTTTTTTTCATGACGTTCGCACGGGGCCAGTCCCAAGGGCCATTTTTTTCATGACGTCCGCACTGGGCCCCCCTCGCGGGAATTTCGACGTGGAGCCACCGCAGGATGAGCGAATCCAACAGTCCTGCGGCGACGCACGGACCCCTCACGCAATGCCGAAAGGGAAGACCCGAGGAGGACCTGAAATCCATGCGCCTACAAATCCGAGCAGCGCCCGTGGAAATCACGCAACATTCTGCGATTTTGTCGGGGAGATGCTGCCGGACGGACATCTCGCACTGCCACTGCCGTCAACACCAGCGCCCCACACAACTGGAGCGCCAGAGCTGGCAAGCAGCACGAGGCCACAACTCCTCTCAAAACGAAGGGACACACGTCCTTCTCTGTGCTCGCTTCTGTCGCGTCGACACACCACGCAACTCCTCCACCTGCTCGCGTCTCCCTCCACCTTTCACGTCACTCTCCACGTCACCTTCCACGTCACATTTGCCTCGCGCAAACAAAGCATTTGGCTCGCGCAAACAACGCATTTGAAAGACGCTTCGACCACTCCGCGCATTCGCCTCGCACAAACAACACACTCGGAACAAGTCCCACAGAGTGCCGTCTCGATTAACGTTGGGGTTCACACGCATCTCAACACGACAGTTACACTCGGTGAGTGAGCACGCGGCCGAAACGTGTGTGTGTATGTGTGTGCGTGTGTGTGTGCCGACATGTTTGTGTAGATTGAACTTGTGTGTGCATGTGCGTGTTTGTGTGTGTGTGTGTGTGTGAGTGTGTGTGTGTGTGTGTGTGTGTGTGTGTGTGTGTGTGTGTGTGTGTGTGTGTGTGTGTGTGTGTGTGTGTGT